AAAAAAAAAAAAAAAAAAAAAAAAAAAAAAAACTGCCCACTTAGAATTGTATTGACTAAATTTGTAGTTTGGTATTAAAGTTTTAAAGGATAGTATAAAGAAACTGTTTAACATTTACCATAGAGCTATTGAGGACTTTATTATCTTTCTTTGTATGACCCATTCTCCTCACTCCTATGAAACATTGGGAGGAAAATTTTTGATTGTCGTGAGTGTTGATCTTTCATGTAGCTATGTGTCTAATTGAGGTCAAACTCATGGTATGCATCCATTCATTGATTCAGCCAATTTACTGTATGTTTCTGTTTTTGCCATTTTGGTTTTGTTTTTATCAAGTCTTGATTTTTAAAAAAAACTTAATATTCATGATTTTTAAAAGCAGACTTAAATTCTTTAAAGAAATTACTAAAACTATTAGATGTTCTAAACAAGGACAATCCTGAACAAGAATTTGTTTTGTTTGGTTGTTCCCTTTTCTGTGAGTTCCTGAACTGAAAGCTACAACAAGAGATTAGCACATGACAGCCAATGCAGTCGGCCAAATCCAGCTAGCTGTCTCTTTCAGTACAACCCCCAAACTAAGAAGTTTTTGTATTTTAAAGGATTGGTGGGATGGAGGAAAGGAGCACATGACAGAGCTGTTGTGGTCCACAAACCCCTATGTATATATTCTCTGGTCCTTTATAGAAAGTTTGTTAGTCCCTGTCCTTACAGATCAATAAACTTTGCTTGTTTTGAAGGTAAATTTTGGGAACAAAAAGCTATAGCTTGATTTTTATGAAGTAATAACTGGGGATTACATAAATAGAAACAATTTTCTACATGTGTGAAAATCTCAACAACTAAAATTGGGTTAAACCTGCACACTAATATAGTATTTCATACTGGATTTATTTATTCTCTTAATGTCCATCTTTGTTTCATGTTGAATTTCATAATCTGAAATCTCTGAAATCAAAATGGGACTGGTCTCCTCTTTTGTACTTTAATTAAAAACAGGGTGTTTCTCAGCCTTTTGGCTAAACTCAAGTGTAAAAACAGGAGTCCTTACCCCCAGGATGTCTGGGGCCTGTTAGGAACCAGTCTACACAGCAGGAGTAGAGCAGCAGACAAGCAAGCAAAGCTTGCATCTTCATTTATAGCAGCTCCCTATTGCTTCCATTACTGCCTGAGCTCTGCCTCCTGTCAGATCAGCAGAGGCTGTAAATCCTCAAAGACATGTGAACCCTACAGTGAAATGCTCCTGCAAAAGATCTGGGTTACACATTCCTTATGAGAATCTAATGTAAAAATAATTAAAACAAAATGCATAATAAATGTAATATTCTTTAATCATCCCAAAACCACCCCCCACCATTCCCAGTCCTTGGAAAAATTGTCCATGAAAAAATAGTCCATGAAACTAGTCCGTGGTGCCACAGAGGTTGGAGACCACTGATCTAAAATTTTTATTAGACTTTAAATTAATGTGGTAAATTTGTATTTTTATTTTTTCAAAGCTAAAGCTTTATTTTAAAGCTAATTTTTTTTCCTAGAGAAAGGTACTGAGAATTTTTTAAATCTGGTTTTCACAGAAAGGTAACATTCTTAAGATTCATAACTAATAAAGAATCTTTATTCTCTAAGTATATCTAAATGTAATTTATAGCATTTTCACGTTGTATAAATATAACGAAAACTATTAAGAGATTCTAATTCTTTTTCTGTCATTGCTTGTAACTATAGGTTGAATCATACATATAGTCAGCTTTTAAAAGAGACTGAAGTTTTACAAACTGACCATAAAAACTTGAAAACTCTCCTAAATAATTCTAAACTGGAACAAACAAGATTAGAAGCTGACTTTTCAAAGCTAAAGGAACAATACCAACAACTGGATATCACATCCACAAAATTGAATAACCAGTGTGAGGTAAGCCTTTAAGAGTTTAAATTACTGTTTCTTTCCTGTAGTATCAAGAGAATACTGTAGTATTCCCAAAAAATAATTACAATAGCAGTTGCAGTATATATTTAATGAGATGCTTCTAAAAGAACTGATCATGGATCATTGAGATTTACAACTCAGAAAAACTATCACTAATTTCATCATATTTTAAACTATAGTTTAGAATTTTTTAATGTTTTATAGTTTAAATTTATATGCCTAGAGACTTTGAAAATTGTAAAATTTTGTGCTTTAGTGGAAGCACCATTGTATACTCTAATGTGAAATTATAAACCAGTAGAAAGAAAAATTGGTTTGAAAGCATATAATTTACCCAGCAAAACTCAAAAAGTTCAAAGCATTTATTTTACCAATGATTCATAAAGGTCTAAATACAATATAATTAAGGTGGTATACTTTTGGAATAGTAGAGGAACATAGTAAATCAGCTCCTCAAACAATAAAATTAGTCAGAAATGTCAAAAACAACCATTTTAGGACTCTAGGAGTTAGCTAAAAAGGCATTTATTAAAGAAAAGCTATGCAACTTTGGGAGTAACTATGGTTGTCTGAGACATTTTTGTATTTTCATTTCCTTTCCATTGATAAGATACCTAGTCATTCTTACAAAGCATGGGGCAAGCATTTAAAACTAGCAGTTTTGGGTTGGTGATTTAGCACAGTGTTGCCACTGCCTGCCTTGCAAGCACAAGGTCCCAAATTCAATCCAGGTACCAAAAAAACTAGCAGTTTTGCTTTTGGAGTAGACTGACTTGTTTTGAGCAGAGCACAAAAAAAAAAAGCCTCATGACGGCCAGGTGTGGTGGCACATGCCTGTAATCCTACCACTCTGGGAAGTTAAGGCTGGAAGGTCTCAAGTTTGAGCCCAATCTAGGTAACTTAATAACTTAGCAAGACTGTCTCAAAATGAAAAAAAAAAAAAAGGCCTGGGGATGTAGCCCTGACTACCTACTCATCTCTAGTTGTCTGTCACAGTGTAGGCTAAATGTTAGCTTTTGGGAAAAGTCATGTAATGGTAAGATATAGAGAAGGTTGAAAAATAAATTTGTGGTGTAAGAGGTCAGGATGGTATACTCAGGAAAGGATGGTGATTGGAGGTTAGCACAACAGTATTTCTGGTATATGACTAATGTTCTGTTTCTTGAATGTATGCTGATTTAAGATATGTGTTAACTTTGAAATAATTCACTTAGCTGTATGTAACTTAAATTTTTTCTCTTTCTGTATATATGTCTCATCATTTGACTTTTGACATAATGTTCTATAACAACCATAAAACCTCAGAAATGATGAACATTGTTTTTTTTCAAGAGTCAGGGTTGGTGAAGCAGATATGCTGATCCACCTCACTGATGTGTAGACCAGAAGTTTGCTTCTACACCTGATTAGCTCCTCCTCCCTCCTAAGAGCTTCCAGTAGACCCCCTGGAAGCACACAGAGCCTCTTGAGGACTAGGCTGGGAGCTTCCAACATAATCACTTCCACTTTTTCTTCACCAAAAACATTCTAAATTCAAGAAGAGGAAAAATATATTTCACTGATGGGAAGAGTAAATAGTCACACTGCAAAAAAGTATAGGAAAGAGAACAAATTCATTCCATTTTTCAATGAATCTACCACATATATTTCAGTGTAACAGTGTGTAATTAAACCAAATATAATACAGTATTGATAGTTATCAATCTAGGTAGTTTAGTTATTCGTAGTATCATTCTTCCTGATTTTTTGTACCTTTTGAGAATTTTCCAGAAAAGAGGGAAGAGCAATGGTTGTAAAGGGTATGTGTTGCTTGCTTTTTTCTTTTTATTATTGTTTACATCTCTGCACTTCATTTCACATCTGCTGAATTCAAATGCTAAGGCCCAGAAATCTACTCTAAAAATGATACTAAATTTTGAATTATTGCTTTGGACTTTCTGACTTCTCTTCAAACTTTTGGGCTATCTAGGGCATATTTCCAGTTTCTACTAACTGCATACAAAAAGCCAAAACTTGCCAGTAATAATTATTGACTAAATTACCTGACCTTCCTTGATGAAATCCCCAAAACTAAACACAAACTTTCTTGAAAACAGTGGTTGGGGGAAGAAGATTTATTTAGTATCTATACTACCAGATACTTCACATAAATTATTTAATTCTTGTAACAATCTTGGTGAGTTAAGGAGCTATCCTTGTTTTATGTCTTTGAGAATTTACATGTTCTAATAGCTATTTAAATAGCTAAGAAATTTGAATCTAGCTTTTTGACAATTAAGTTATATAAATGTGAAGATAGAAGTATATTTGAAACTAGATAATTTCTTTTATATATTAGACCCAGTGTTTGCAGGAATTTTAAAAATATGTATGTACAGCAAGTAATCCAATGCTATTTTCATCATTAAAATAATCATTCAAGTTTATATCAAAGTAGTCATCTAATTGTTCAAACAGTAGAAGACTTAAGTCTTCATGAAATGCTTTAGATGTTTCAGATTATTTATGTTAAATGTGAATTTTTAAAATAGATTTTATATTTAAACAGCTGCTCAGCCAACTTAAAGGGAATTTGGAAGAAGAAAATCGACATCTACTAGATCAAATTCAGACATTAATGCTACAAAATAGAACTCTATTGGAACAGAATATGGAAAGCAAGGATCTTTTTCATGTTGAACAAAGACAGTATATGTAAGTACCAAATAATTTGCACTCTGAAATATTACTCATGATGCTATAATTGCCATACCCAGTGACAGAGAAAATTCATGCTCATTTTTTAAATTTTCAATATCATTACTTCAGTATGTGCTCATATTATAGGCACTGTTAATAAACCAGAAATAACGTGAAAATTCAAATTCTGCTATAAAAGAGTTACTAATATAAAGCAATAAATACAAGTAAATGCTTAAATACAATAATTCTATAATGGAGGTATTTGTAGGGTACTATAGAAATATAGGGAAAGAGTACCTTATTCTGGAAGGGGCAAGGTAGACTTCCCAGAAGTAAGACTAGAGCTGAGCTGAGACTTGAAGGTTCAGTGGGAGTTTCCTTGAGGTGGGATACCAGGCCATGAGCATACTAATACAACTTAATTATTGATAAGTTATGTCACCATAGAGAATATAGGAATCTGCTAAGACTCCAAGATTTGGGCCTGAGTGCTTCAGTGGGTAGTCTTTGTATTATGTCATCATTAGCCTTTACTAAATTCTCTCCTTCCCTTTGCGTACTAAAGTGAAAAATACAAAAATATAATAGAAATAGGCAGATGTTGAAATCAAACAGTTCCCAATTCATATCCCAGTTCTTCAACTTATTATCTGTATGACCTTGAACAAGTCATTTTATTTCCTCTAATCATTAGCTTCTTCTCTAATTAGAAATAATCAAAGCTACTTCCAGGATTATCCTAAGAAATAAATGAAATAATATTTCTCTGGATTTTAGACTTAATGTACATGATAAGTTAGGGTACATAGGAAGCCAGGATACATAATACTTTTCTTTTTTTTTTTCTTTTTCTTATTTATTTATTTATTATTTTATTTTATTTTATTTTATTTTTGAGACAGGGTCTCACTATGTAGTTGAGACTGACCTGGAACTCACTATGTAGCTCAGGCTGGTCTTGAACTCACAGCAATCCTCGTACCTCAGCCTCCCGAGTGCTGGGATTACAGGCATGTGCCACCACGCCCGGCTATAATACATTTTTCTGAAGCATCATATTTGTACAGAATGTAGGGTAGGAAACATTTCTATATTAATATACAGTTTGTATTTGCATTAACTTTTTGTTTTGTTTTATTTTGTTTTTTTGGTGCCAGGGATCAAACTAAGATCCTTGAGCTTGCAAGGCAGGCAGTGGAACCACTGAGCTAAATCCGGAGCCCTGCATTAACTTTTACGATAAACCTCAAAGAAATTTCATTTTCATAGATGGCCACTTTGAACTATATCTTCAACTTTTATAGGGATATGTATTTCTTTATTCACTGCCATAAGAGGTATTTTAAGTTAAGTACCACTGAATATATATAAAGCTCTTCATATTTTAGTTTGCGGTGCCTTAAGCATAGGCATTACCCAAAGTTTTGTTATCTTAATATGCGCTTCCCCTTAGGCCACGCATAGTGGTGCATGCCTGTACTCCCAGCACTTGGAAGGCTGAGGCAGAGGATTACAAGCTTGAGGCCAACCAACCTGGGCTACTTAGTGAGTTTAAAGCCAGCCTGAGCTACAAAACAAACCCTGTCTTTAAAAAAGGGGGTTGAGGGAGAAAGAGAAATATTCTGATCAGTGACATTCATTTTAGGATTTTTTTCAGTGATTGTGCCTATATAGTTGACTTCCAAATATTATTATCTATTCTGACTTACTTAATTTAAATTACACATATCCATCTTATATGTCTGACATTTATAACTGAATGCCTCGTATGTAGTTGTGGCAGAAGTGACAGAATCAGAGAAGTTGAAGAATATGATCATGTCTCAGCAGATAAAAAGGAGAATGGAGTTGAGAGCTGTGGCCTTCTGTACTGTAGACATCGATTTTTTAACCATCAAGACTTCCATAGGCTTGAGGTCCAAGTGGTTGTTGATATAACTTTTGACATATGTTTTCAGAGCATCTTCTGCAGATTCAGATCAGTTCCTCTCTGTTCTCACCACCCTATTTCAACCTTCCTACTCAACTAGACTGCCCCATTTGCGTCCTGAATTCTTTCTTTATCTCTAGGCTTTGTGATACAAAGTGGTAATTTGGTTCACAAGCTTAATTCTTTTCCATGATTCTCTGGTTGCAGAATTCGTTCCACAATTTTGATTGCAACCAAATTCTGCAACCAGAATCATGGAAAGAATTGTTAATGAAGCAAGGCACTACTGTGTCCTGATCCATCGTTAGGTTTTAAGTACCTTAAGCAAAATAATTTATAATATTACTTTAATAAAAGTCAAAATATATGATTTCTTTTTGTGAAAAATCAAAACTAAGTATCTGCTTCCTCTCTTCCTATATTCAAGCTAAACTGCTTAATTTAGCCTTTTTATCTTTCTTTTTTAGTCTGTATAATCTGGCCTTTTTCTTCACGAAGATTTTTTTGATCTTCAAAGATTAAAATATTTCCCATTTTATAGTTTCCTGTTGTACTTTATTTACAATACTTTTATTTTGGTATGCTAAGTGCCTCACAATTATTTACATGTCTTCACTCTCCCACTGTATCATAAGTAGAGCTAGTTATTGCTTATCTTTATATATACTCTACCTGATACTGTCCTCATTAAAAATGATCACTAAATGTTTACTGAGTAAACAGTATTTTTTTGCATTGCAGTTTGCTTTTTTTTTTTTTTAAAGAGATCACTATACTTTGGTCTGTGATCATTGATGTCTCTGTATGTAAAAAGTACTATTGAGAATATAAAAATGAGGCAGGGAGCTGAATGCTGTGGGGTGTGGAACTGTGGAGGCTGAGGCTGGAAGATCAAGAGTTCAGAACTAGCTTGGGCAGTATAGCAAGACCCATTCTCAAAAAAGCAGTCTAGAATGTGACAAAAGTAATATACTTATCTATTGCTGGGGTCAAGAAACAATTGTTTACAAGTAAATTAAACCCAAGTACCTGGGAGTGGTGGCACATGCCTATAATCCCAGCAATCCGGAGGCTGAGGCCGGAGGATCACTGTGAGTTTGAGACCAGCCTGTGCTACATAGTGAATTCCAGGTCAGTCTAAACTAAGTAGTAAGACTCTGTTCCAAAAAAAAAAAAAAAAAAAAGCCCAAGTAAGTCCATCAAAAAGGAAAAAATTTATTTGCATAAAGATATACTGTAGTAGGAAGATTATTTATTATATCTACAATTTGCTTATGAGCAAACTAAATATCCAACTATTTTTTGCTTATATAAAGTATAATAGAAAAATAGTTAATGTTGATACAGTGTTTAAGAGCTATAAAAAGATGTTGAGAGAATTCCTTTACAATGTAATACTATAGTATAGAAAATTTTTCTTCAAAAAAGATTTGAAACTTTGAATTCTAGATTTTTTTTTTTTTTTTTTTTTTTTAAACAGAGTCTCACTATGTAGTTGAGACTGACCTGGACTCACTATGTAGTCCAGGCTAGTCTTGAACTCACAGCGATGCTCCTGCCTCAGCCTCAGGAGAGCTGGAGTTACAGGTGTGCACCACCATGCCCAGCTAAATTCTAGATTCTTTTAAATAAGTTTTAAAATTAAATAAAAGGAGAAACATGTAAAAACTTCTATTGTTACTTCCAAGTAAACTCTTGGTTGACAATTATGGTATCTGTTTATGTTTGTGGAAGAAGTAAGATCAAAGTCATAAAATAATTTACTATCATTCATAGCTGTTTAATATGTCCTAAAATGTAATTTTAATTTTTATAGTGATAAGTTAAATGAATTAAGACGACAAAAGGAGAAATTAGAAGAGAAAATTATGGATCAATACAAATTTTATGACCCATCTCCTCCTAGAAGGTACCATTAATCAAGTTTTATGATTTTTTTATTTTGAAAAAAGGTTATGTTATTTCTAGTATTATGGACACTTCTGATTTTTGTGGAGGATTTAATGTGTTGAATTTTAGATTAAGAATTTTTTAAATTCTGTTAGGAGAGGCAACTGGATTACTCTCAAAATGAGAAAATTGATAAAGTCTAAGAAGGATATTAATCGAGAACGTCAGAAATCTCTAACATTAACACCTACCCGCTCAGACTCCAGCGAAGGATTTCTTCAGCTGCCTCATCAAGATAGTCAAGACAGTTCTTCAGTAGGGTCAAATTCTTTAGAAGATGGCCAAACCCTGGGGACCAAGAAAAGCAGCAGTGAGTGCTTAAACTCTTGAATTCAGAATCTTTTCCAAATATTTATTTTTAATATTTAGTATTTTTTATTTGACAAATATTTCTTTCAAGTCTTTTCTGATAAGTGGCATTTCTTTTTAATTCTATATGATTATAAAATTAATTGCATACTGCAATAGTACACAGCCATAATTTTCTGAGACATACAATACACAGAAATACAATTACTTGTCCAGAGAGGTAAAATATTTTAGAAAGAACATTGAAATAAGAGCCAGACTACCAGGCCTTTTACCTTTGCTTTGTACTTCATAGGTTGATCGTAAGAAGCTATGGAAAAATATGTCTTAAGACTTCATTTTCATAAATATCTATAAATTAATGAGAGTGCCTTTTATAATGAAGTTTTTGCTCTTGTACTTTGGAGCAAGGTTATTACACTGGGGGAAACAAAAGAAAAAAGATGTTATTGTCTATTAACAACTGAAGGTTAAGAAAATTATTAAAGAATGCTTAGTAGTTTTAATTGTAATGAAATGGAGATGGGAGATGTGTGTATATAAAATTGTAATATAATTTTTTCTTATACATTAGAAATACCCATTTAAAGCCCTTTATAATTTATAACCTTATTTCATTACTACTGTGCTTACTAGCTAAACAGCAAGAGCAAAGTCAAAGCCTAAATAAGTGTATTTCAAGAGAAAGAATGTTCAATACTAAGTGCTTTGAAGATGCCCAAGAAGTTGATTATCAGTGGTTTTTGTTTTTGTTTTTGTTTTTTTCTTTTTTTGATACCAGGGATTGAACTCGGGTCCTTGCGCTTGCAAGGCAGGCCACCGTACCACTGAGCTAAATCCGTGGCCCTGATTATCAGTGTTTTATAAAATATATAAGCCAGATCATTTAATACTCTCATATGATCAGTGGTGTTACTAGATTTTAAACATGTGTACACACAACACCATTTTTCTGAAATAAACAGCAAGCAAAAGCAGCTACTTCTTCCCCCAGAGGTAGACAGGGAGGAGAAAAAACTGCACCGTGTTTTGTTGGCATCAGGTGATTTATCTCTGAAAGAGACAGTATTTTAGGGAGTAGCTATTAAACATTTATAGCACATATTTCAGATTACAACTATAGAAGCCTGAAAACTAGAATCCATATTTAAGCTACAACAACAAAAAAAAGTATAACACATACAGTTGTATATATACTAATCTCCAGAAAGCAGTGTAATCCTGTATTGCTATAAAAGATTATTGTTATCCTTAGTCTTATGCCATTTATTTAGTCTCATCTACCTAACTAGAAGTTATTGTTTTGGAGAGATAATCTCAATTTTTCCTTTTAAAAAGTTGCAAATCTGCTAAGATGACATTAAGGAAAAAAAATTTTTTTAATTTAAAGATATTTCAACTCAGACATGAGAACATAGGTATAACAGTTTTTTCTGAGATCATCTTGTCTGTTTGAAATATAATTCTGTCATTCATTCATGCTCTCTGCCACAACATTCAGAATAAAAATCAATAAATATTCTCCTTTCCTACAGTTTTCCAGTTTTAGAATTTTTAAAATAAACACAGAACTCATCAATGATCATGTTCCCTTAATTTAAGTATACTTTGGGAAAAGAACATTATATAGCTCCAAAGTAATTGCCATCAAAAGAATTACATTCCCAAAAAAAAGAATTGCATCCCATCCTTGGCACACTTAAAGCTCTTTTTATCCTGTTTGAAAGAGTGTCTGTCTGTCAGTAAAGCAGTCTTTTAAAAATAGTTGAAAACAGAAAAAGGAAAACAGTATCTAAAAAGACAACGTGTGCATGCTGCAACCAATCAGCTTTGTTTGAGCTAAGTGTCCATTTTTGCATTGCTTTCCAGTTCATTTCTTTTTAATCATTGAAAACAGATGTGGTTACCAAGTTTAAAGAGAAAATAGGTCAAGCTGTGTTCTTTCACTCTTTAATGAATGATACTTGTCAGTTTCTCAAGAGTTTTGGTTATTTACAAGATGATGGCAAACCCCAAGAAACAGAATAACTATTTAGGCTGTGTATATTTGTTTTTAATTAAATTTACATGCAGGTTGTTTTCCTAACTCCTAAATTGCTTTTCCAAAAAGGTACAATACTTTTTATTCTTAAATCTCACTAAAAATGTAGCTAAAGAATTAAGTAATCTAGTGAAATTTTTGCTCTAATTGACATAAATTTATGCACAGTGTTTCATTTGATTTTTGTTAATTTCATGAATAGCATCCTTCAGAATGCTTTTTCAATGTCCAATATATTTTTGTCTGCTTTGGGTGCCTCCATTTTTCTTTATCAGGCCTTAGTGCTAACACATATTAATACTATCAAACTACTCCTTTTTTCCCCCTCTTCCTCCCAACCAACGTTTTTTGTAAAAAGAACCCAATATAATTGCTTATTTAATTTTTGGAATGACTTTGCTTTAAAGTTGTGTGTTTCTATATTGTTGTTGAATAATGCATTTGAATACAGTTTAAACCATTATTTTCTTTATTAAAGTTTAGGAGAGTAAGTTTTTAGGGCAAGTTTTTGAAGTTTCTATAGATTGTTTTAAACATCTTTTGGGCACCCTGATTTTTGTATTATTAACTCTCATAGGATGTATGTTTTCCTAAATAAATTTTTCTAAAATAAAGCCTAAAAATATTAAAAGAAAACAAGCTTGAAAAGCCTTTTTTTACATTTTCATTGTGTACACTACCAATAGCCTAGTTTTAAAAGTTTACCTTTACAACTTAACTAGCGAAATTCAATCCAGGTTTTCAAAGTATGTTCCTCATCATTGTCTTCAGTGCTTTTCCAAGTATTTTAAAGTATCGAAGTACATATTTCATATTTCATTATCACTCAGCAGCATGAGAATAATAGCTTTAATATAGCATACATAGCTGAAACTCAACATTCATTTCTGTCCTTAATTTCAACATTTAACTCCCATCTGTTCTTCTTCCTTTTTTTCTTTCATTTCCCTGTTTCTGTTTTTCCTCATGCTCTGACATTAAAGTGGTTGCACTGAAAAGACTGCCCTTTTTGAGGAACAGACCGAAGGATAAAGACAAAATGAAGGCCTGCTACCGTCGTTCTATGTGTAAGACTTTATGACAGTTCAGCTTCTTTTAAATGACTACACTGGCTTCCATTACTAATTTTTCACTAACCTTTCTCTGGACTGTACCAATTTCTTATTTTGCAAAGTGCAGTCTTCCTTTAATTCAAGGAGCTGGAAGAATATTTTTCAAAGCTGGCATTGAATTTGCATTATATGTATGTCTATACTAATACATATACATGCACTTGTTTAGTAATACATATAGTGTACTTGTAAATTTCCAGTGCTTTCTGCAAGTTGATAGAAACGAACCTTGATTTTATATGTCATAGAGATTTTTTTTCCAAAGAAATTTACTTAAGGAAAAGTATAACAAATCCTTTAGCATTAGGAATTTATTTCCTAAATGAACCCAATTTAATAAATAAAATGGCCTGTAATCTTTGAAACTGTTTGTCATTCTTTATACAATAATATTCTGGGTTTTCAGTGGTTGGGTAATTATATAATCACGTTACATGTCTGTCACTTTGGATATCATCTCTTTCAGGTTTTTATTCAGTGGTATACTTATTTGATATAAAAATGAATTATTTCTTTAGTAACCTGCTCTGACCAAGGACTCTTAAGAAATGCTTTCCATTTTAATTCATTTCATTTTTGTCACTACACACATTATAAAGGCTTCTAATTAGATTGCACATCATTGCACAAAAGCATGGCAATTGTACATATCCTGTCTGTCTTTTAAAGGGGGTGGAGAAGAGGGATAAAAGTTTTTACTAAAATTTATCTGCCTTTGGCCTCCTCATTTCATTCAGCTGAATGCATGTAATCAAATGATCTTGTAGTTATAGTTTTTTAAATGTCCATTTACATAAAGTCATAGAAGCCAAATCATTTATAATACAAAAGAAAATTAAGAGCAAATAAATTAATCATGCTGATTCATTTGCTTTCATTTGCATCCCAGCCATGAATGACCTGGTGCAGTCCATGGTCCTAGCAGGACAGTGGACAGGTAGTACTGAGAATTTGGAGGTTCCTGATGATATTTCAACGGGTAAAAGGAGAAAAGAATTGGGAGCTATGGCCTTCTCTACTACAGCCATCAACTTTTCAACTGTCAACTCTTCTGCAGGCTTCAGATCCAAGCAGTTGGTTAATAATAAAGGTATAGGCCGTCTGCTGTTTGCACTGTGGTGAAACTGTTGGCAGCAGGAATTTTAATTTGACTTTCTCCTGTGTACTTTTAAAAGCCTGAAATAATTAATGAAACAATCTAAATTTGTATGGGGAAAACTTTCAAACATTTAAAACATTACACAATTATATAAAATATTTTTAGATATTTCAAAACAATGAATTAATAAGAAAACAGAGGTAAACTAGGTAAACCAGGAAATATCATTTTGGGGATTTTTTTTCCCCAAAAAAAACCTAAAACACTACAGCTTCAACCAAAGAACCACATAGAACAACATAGATTCTTTATATTACAGAATCACAGGGGAGATTTTTGCATAGCTTCTGGTATTGTCCCTAAACAAATCAATTCAGTTTCTTACTCCTAATTTCAGTTTCTGGCTGATTCTATAAAATACGTTAAATAAATATGTGAAGAATTTCTATATTCTGTATAAATAAATTTTGTAATGAAATTTGATTTTTACAGAAATATGTTTAATCCACTTTGCTATTTTATATAGATACTACATCCTTTGAAGACATAAGTCCACCAGGTATAAGTGATGATTCTGGTACGGGATCAAGAGCTCATGGTAAGATATGAACTTTATTTAGAACACATATTAAGTACTAAATAGGAATGTTGAGAATTTTGTATTAAGTAAGTGGATGTGGCATCTCCAGCAGTCTTGTTTTTTTGTCCTGTATCTCATAGTTCTACCATTTCTTCAAACGTAATACTTACTTTTGTCCCTTAAAGATTATTTCTTTGCCTCAGTGTTCCCTCTTTTAATCAAGTTCATTTATAAAGTATGCCTGCGCAATCCTCAAAGGTAATTTTTTTCCATTTTATATAAGGTTAGTTATTATTGTTTTGCCACTAACTTAAAAATATTTTGTAAAGGATGAACTTTAGGAAATGAGTTTTCTATACTGTTCAGTATTTTAGGTTTTTAAATTTCCATCTAAAAAGTCATAAAACTAAATTATTTCAACAAATGGATAACATGTTAAAGGAATTTCAGGATTCTAAGAAGTACTGTTGGCATGTTAACTGTAAAACTGCTTCCCTTGTATAGATAGGAGTACATTACATTAACTGCAGTTGTTCATATTCTTCCTCTTCATGGCATCTCTATATTGTGTAGTTTCTTTTCCCATCTGTTTTAAGTGTCTTGATCCCTAGCATTTTGAGGAGACTGGGGAACGAGTCAGTCTGTCTGTCCAAAGTAGTTCTAATATCTATGTACAAATCATTTTCAAATGTAAATATGCATTGTTCTCATCTTTGAATCTCAGCTATTGTTTGATAAGTATCCTGTTTTGCATTGTCTATCTGAACTATCTGGAAATCCGTTTACTTTCTAATCTATAAGATTCACCTTTCTGTGGACTTGTTCAGCCTGTGACAGTATGCATGATTTCTTCCACAAAGCATTCTGTGATCAGAATGTAAGATTCATTGTTATCAGCTGGAAGTTTTATCACACTGTCTCCTGATTTTTTCATTTAGCTTCAAGACCAGCCAGCCTTGATAGTGGCAGAACATCCACTAGCAATAGCAATAATAATGCTTCACTCCATGAAGTCAAAGGTATGCTGTAGGTAAATTTATTAATGTAGTCCATCCATTTCCAGTAATATTTTTAAAATGGGAGAAGGGGTTGGGGTATAACTCATTAGTAGAGCACACATTTTACATGTACAAGGCCCTGAGTTCAATTCTCCAGTACCAAAGAGTGGGATGGGAATGTTGGAGATGGAAGAAGGTTTCTGGGGTAAAGTGTAAAATCGAAAGTCCAAATCATCTATGTTTTGAAGATAGTTCTTTGGAACATTTATACTTTTTGCATTGTAATACAGATGTATTTCAATGTATACAAATGTAAAAACAGGAGCAGTTATTTTGGTTTCAGTTTTCATCTTCACAGATAAAATACTTTTATTGTAATCTTTATACTTCAAATTTTTCTATAAGTCCTTATTTTACTTACATTTTGTCTTTCATATCTGAATGGTTGTGCTTGATTTTCTCATTATGCGTGTACATTAAACTTGCATTACTCATACTTCACAAATTTTCTAGTTTAATGTATGAATAAAATAAAGGAAAGTTTTTTGTTTTTCCTTTTAAGAAGCAGTTCTCTGGGCCAGGGATGTACCTCAGTGGCATAGCACCTAACTGGCAAATGTGAGGCCTTGAGTTTGAATCCCAGTACTAAAAAATAAATAAATAAATAAAGCAAGAAGCAATTCTCTGTGGGGGGGTGCGCAGGAGGTATATGGATACATTATATCTTCTATAAAATATTATTTGAAGATTATTTTTCCTTTTTTGTTGTTGCTTTGAGACAGGGCCTTGCTGTGTAGTTCAGGATGACCTTAAACTGTTAGCCCAGACTAGCCACAGACTCACCAAGATCCTCCTGCCCCAGCCTCCCACTAGGATTACAGGCGTGCACCACTATGCCTGGCTTCCTTAATTTTTAATTTTTATTTATTTTATTTGTTTCTTTGGTTGGTTGGTTGGTTTTGGTACCAGGGATCAAACTCAGGACCTTGCACTTGCGCAGCAGGCGGCAGAACCACTGAGCTAAATACCTGCCCATCCTTTTTGTCTTTGAAGTAATTTACTATTAATGTTATGACTTCATTACAGTAATCTGAAATATGTGCTTTTTAAGGGGAAGTTAATTTTTTCATTTTACAGTTCTGTTATATCCAGTAGAAAAATATTCTCTGAAAATACATATAAATAATTTCTTCTTCTGATTTAAAATTTTCAGAAAAATCTTATTTCTGTATTTTACATAACTTCAGACAAATTCTTTCATGATCTGCTTTTTACTCTCTATAATTAAGAAAGCATGGAACGATCCAAATTGTATAATTGACAATGTGAAATAGGAAGAAAGGGGCTAAAGGTGTAAGAGAAGTGGAAAGGGTAGGGGAAGGGAAATAAGGGAAAAGAAAAACTATGAGAAAACAAAAAAATGGAAACAAAGTCTTTGTAAATAGGGAAGGTTGAAGGAGGTGAAGGGAGGGCAGGGATATGGGAAAAAAATGAGAATCAAGATCTGTCATGTAAAGGTGCAAGATCCCAATGATAAATGTAACTGTACTGTATACCTAAAATGTACCAATAAACTCAATGAGAAAAAAAAAGCATGGAAAGTTGTACCATGAAGACAAAAAATACAACTTTCCAAGTAACCAAAACAACCTTTGCCATTCATCAAAGCAGATCAGTTCTCTTAAGAAATAACATAGGTCTTAGGAAGCTGTATTCCAACTAGCTAATTTCCATTCTATATTATTCAACCTGAACTGAATCTTGTAAGGCTATACAGGCACCATACCAGCAGTGGACAAAAACAATCATATGATTCAAATCTTCATACCTGATCTCAGCCAAAAGGCCGAGAAGCAATACATGATTCAAATCTTAAGAAAAGAAAAAGAATAAAATACTATATATTTGATTTCATACTTTTACTAGAATTTTCTAACTGCATTCTTTCTCCATTTGACTTCCTTGATATGTGTGCTAATTCAATTCAAGAATTGTTAGGATTATTCATTTAGGATGAACAGAAAAACCTTTAGATTAACTAATGACTTCATAAAGAGGCAAAGAATAAAATTTTTACTTTTGCATTTAAAACAGCTTTGAGTTTTACCATTCTGAAATAATTTAGAATTAATGTACTCATGTTCTTGTTCTAAATTGAACAGTGTTTTAAAATTATTCAAACCTGAATTTTAGTCATCAGTGTTTTAGGGGCCTTCTTTGTATGAGGCTTTCTTTAGGCTCTGAATATAGTGGTAAAAGCATATTTTTGCCTTTTTAGAACTTAAAATATTTGCCACTTTGCAAAATAAGGAGAAAGGTATAGCAGAGAGCTATTAGACTGATGAAAGAATAACATGGTTTCCTAAGCATTTCTAAATAAAACTTGAAAGTAAGTTTGGCAATTCATAGAATAAGAGCTGAGTCAACAAATATAATAATGTTATGACATAGTAATAATCTCATTTCTATTATTAAAGTCTCAATACAGTATTTACTTCTAAAGCAGGTGCAGTTAATAACCAAAGCAGGCCACAAAGCCACAGTAGTGGAGAATTTAGCCTGCTTCATGATTATGAGGCGTGGTCCAGCAGTGGAAGTAGTCCAATCCAGTACTTGAAAAGACAGACCAGATCAAGTCCAGTGCTGCAGCACAAAATGTCAGAATCACTAGAAACTCGAACACACCACAAGATAAAAACTGGTTCCCCTGGAAGTGAAGTCGTTACTCTACAACAATTTTTAGAAGAAAGCAACCAGCTTACCTCAATACAGGTTAGTTTTATGTATGGTGACCCTATCTAGATGAGTACTAGAATGTCTATAATGATAAATTTTTTTTTATTATGACGTGTTTAAGTGATACCAGCCTTATAATTTATAGCTCAATATATAAGGAAAATCAAAATAGTTTTAATTCACTTTCTGCTTTGATTTTTTTGAACAGTTAAAATCTTCAAGTCAAGAGAATCTTTTAGATGAAGTAATGAAAAGTTTATCTGTCTCTTCTGACTTTTTGGGAAAAGACAAGCCAGTTAGCTGTGGTCTGGCCAGGTCAGTAAGTGGAAAAGCCCCAGGGGACTTCTGTGATAGACGGACAGCTAAGCCTGAGTTTGTGAGAGCTGGTTCTCGAAAGACTGAAGGTGCCTACGTCATTAGTTCTGCAGGAAAACCTACACCAGGCACTCAAGGAAAGATAAAATTTGTTAAAGAAACCTCTGTGTCACGACAATCAAAAGATAGCAACCCTTATGCCACTTTACCTCGTGCAAGCAGTGTAATCTCAACTGCTGAAGGAACTACTCGCAGGACAAGCATCCATGACTTTTTGACCAAGGATAGTAGACTGCCGATGTCCGTTGACTCATCACAGCCTGCTGCTGATAGCAACATCACTGCAGCATCTAGTGAGTACACTTTACACCAGGGGTCCTCTCACATGCTTAGTGGTCTATCCCAAGATATAGGCTCTCATGCCCAAAATGACTTAACTATAGCTAAGCCTGAGTCTCTATATTCCCAAGCTAGAAACTCAAGAACAGAAAGGTCATATTTTCTAAACCAAACTTTTTCAACTACTAATGTGTCTTACGATGTATTTGGAATGTCATGTAAAGATAGCACAGAGTCATTTACTATGGCTCACTCATCTCAGCCATTCTTATCCCTGAACACAGAATTGGTTAGTAACATAAGTGGGTTTCCTCTCAGGCTGACTATCAGAGAAACAAACCAGCCTTCTGCCTCTTTGGAAGAAGCTTCACAGAAAAGTATTGAACAGTTCTCTGATAGTCAGTATCCTAGTAATAGTAACCCACAATCCTTCATGGATACCAATAATCTTGTCACTCCTGCATGCCTCTATCCTGATGACACAGAATCTACATTGTTGGTTTCTGAGGATAATCAAACTGTTTGGTATGAATATGGTTGTGTATGATCAAAAAAGCATAGTATATTGATGTTATTTGATATATACTACACTTCTCTAATCTCATTTGAAGAGCTAATGTTGTACCATTTTGGCTAGGTTTATGTTTTAAGATTGTTGCATAGTCTTCAGCTGTATGTGGTGGCATGTATATAAACATGAATGTGTACCCACACCAAAGCCTGCATGAAATGTTAATTACATTGTACATTCTCTGCATGCCTTTAAAAACCTCAGCCATACATTCTTTTCCTTCACATTTTTGTCACTTGATAAAAGATTATTACTTTCATATCCAGAAGCATGTTAAAATAGTTGCATGTTTCATTACCAAGAAGGCATTTCCAAGTCGTGTTTGCTTCGTTGCTTCTAAAAAGAATGTTCATTTCCTCCCTTCCTGCCTTTCTGACCCTCCTTCTCTGTCTTACTTTTTTTTCCCAAGAATGTGCATTTCATATTGCACATGTACAGTATCAATAAGGGATATTTATCTTTCTTTGTATTTTCCTTCATCTGATAAATGCAAGAGCATTTATCTTTCTTTCAAGATGAGTTATTTGCTTAGAATCAACTAACACAAGTTTTTCCAATTCTTTTTTTTATACAGAGTTAATGAAAAATAAAGTATATGCAACATATTGAAAACTTGTATTTTTGCTTCTCTTCTAAAAGGGTTTACAAAGTGGTATAAATTATTACTTGTACTAATTATTAAAATATATATTATAGTCTTAAAATAATTTCAAAAATAATACATCATGCTAACATATAAAACTAGGCCTTATAACCAATGAAAAATAAATGGTTTTAGGGCCGGGATTTAGCTCAGTGGTTACACCTCCTGCCTTGCAAGCACAAGGAACCGAGTTCAATTCCCAGTACCAAAAACAAAACAAAAATAAATGTTTTTAGAACAAATTATAAAGCAATACAGAATAATTAAAAAGAGACTATTTATAAATTCTGACTACAGTATTACAAACTTATCTTAGTTTATATGTATCACTTTCCAAAATCGTTAAATTTGAGTTTCTAACTCCTAAATATATTTTTAAATTTTTTTAATTTTTTTGGTACTGGGGATCAAACTAAGGTCCTTGCGCTTGCCAAGCAACCGCCAGAACCACTGAGCTAAATCCCTGGCCCCTAACTCCTATATTTTAAAAAAATCTGTAACCTTGATTTACTTCTTTCTGGAGGGAGAGGAGTATATCTTAGCTTTGTCTCTGAAATGTTTTTGCCATTTTTTAATGTTGCCTAAGTACCTAAGTATTATCGCATCTAGAATGCCTTTGAAATGTAACTTTTTTTTGGTTGTGATACTGAAGACTGAACCCAGGGGCTATATTCCCATTCCCAGCCCTTTTTATTTTGAGGAAGGGTGTTGCTAAAGCGCTAAATTGCCCAGGCCAGGCTTGTATTTGAAATCTTCCCACCTCAGCTTCTCAGAGTGCTGGGATTATGGGCATGTGCTACCACACCTGGCTGAAATGTCACTTTGTAAGTGAGGAGGTATTATTACTTTATACTTGTTATTACATGACAAAAATAATTACAGATAATCTTTGTTTAATGAAATTTGTGTCCTTTGTGAAATTGGTTATTCTCTTGTACTTACACAGGATCATTTCAGAGACTAAAGTCTCTTTTATATTGTTGACTGTGAGGATTTTTTTCATAGCTAGTACTAAACCTGCCAATTAAATGAGCACAGTCAAAAAGTCTGCAAAATTTTAGTACCAGTTAGTGAGTGTACTTTCTGCATGAATACACCATTCTAATTTACTGTCAGCTTTTTGCCTGTCAGTCCTAACACATCATATATTTTTGGTGCTAACATAATCCTTTTTTATTTATAACCTAATAATAAAATTAGGTAAATATGGCTGAAATTAGATGGAGGCCATATATGACCCAAATATAAAAGTTAGTGTCATTTATTTTCCAAATTGAGTCAAAGATCTTTTTTCACAAACATTTCAAATTTCCATATATCATAAATCTGACCATAACCACTTTAAATTTAAAATATTAATGTCATTCATTCAAAATACTTTGAAGATCCTGTGCTATTATATTTTAAATTATTTTAAAAATCAAACTTACAGGATAGAATTATTTCCTACCAAATGGCTATGTGATATATATGTGGTAAAATTGTGTGTGTGTGTGTGTGTGTGTGTGTGTGTGTGTGTGTGTGTTAAGAAAGACATACATACTGTGTCCTTGTGTTGTGAGGACTGAGAATGCAGACTAGACTTCCTTTAGAAACCATGGAGTCATAAAATCTCCCCAAAACAATACTAGTATCTCACTTAATGTTTCTTTGGAATCAAATTTTTAGGGGTAGAAAAAAATTTGTAACTCATGGAAATAGTGTCTCTCAAAAAAATTTTAAATCAGCATAATAGTTGGTATAAATGAAAATCTACATTGGTGACCCACACTTAATAAAGATAAAAGTGAATCAACTCTGATTCAATTAATTAAGCATGTGCACTTATTTTTTCCTTAGGAAAAAGATCTAGTAAATATCTTTATAAATATCTAGTTTCACAAAGGATTATTTGAGAATTATTTAAGATGGAATGCTGTCATTTTATAAATGATGGGATTGAATTGCTTTTATGTTATGTTAGATTTCTAGAAATTATACCTGTGTGATTTAGGCAATAACTGTAAACATAAGGTCATGGTTTAGGTCCACTTTGAAGGAAACAATTTCAGCTATCAATAATGTTAAGTAGGTATATTATTTGCCTCTAAAATAGGCCTCAGCCGTATTTTTCCTAGTAAATAATACACATAGTTCATTTTGGATGCTTGCTTGCTTCTGCCTTTGTGTGAAAGATTTTTTATTTAAACTGTATGGTGACCATTTAGAATAAACAAGAAGTATGTAAGCCTGTCTGACAGTCAGAGGGAAAAAAATGTGTTACAGGTTTGGTTTTTTTTAAAGCTTTCATGGGCTGGGGATTTAGCTCAGTGTTTCCAGCCCTGCCACGCAAGTGCAAGGTCCTGAGTTCAATTCCCAGTACCAAAAAAAGAAAAAGAAAAAATAAAAAAGCTTTCATGACAATGTTATTTTTACAGCTTTAAAATACAAAAAAATCAGCCTCAAGTAATGAGATATGTAAAAGATTGATAAATTTACAAGTTACTAATAAATTTACAAGTTACAGAATTCCCCTCCTTGCCCTACTGAATGACAGCTCTTTAGTTTCTTATCTCCATGTATTGTATTATGTTTAACCTTTGACTAAATAACATGAAATACTTTTCTCCTGCAGATGTGGACAAAGTACAAGAAAGCAGAAATTCAAAAAGCAGGTCTAGGGAGCAACAAAGCTCCTAATTCTATTACCCACTACATGACATGTGGGCCAAGTGGTGAGTTTACTGCTTAAAATGTAAATGAGATTAGTCTCATTTATACAAACTAACTGACTTAAATGACAGCAAGTGCACATGTCATTAACAGATGTAAATATTGCTTGCTTAATGCATTGGCTTTTCTGACCTATGTACTAGTAAAGCAAGGTTAGTTCTTTGCCATGGGTTTTTGCCTGAGAGTGCAGGAAACAGTTTATTTTAAAAATTATTTTTCTTTAAATTTAATTTTACTAATTAATATTGTGAAGTCTTTTTATGATAGAAATAACTTCACAAATTTCTTGATAATTGATGAGAATAAACTAGATGTCTATTCTCTGAAACTGATGTCTATCAAAGAAAAGTTGTCTCTGATTTTCTGTCACACTCTCATTCCCTTAGAAATGCCTGGTGCATGCTCATATTCTTATAGTGGCTGCTTTGTAATATATATTCCTCTTATCCTTAAGCTTTCCTTATATTTTCTTTCTTCTTTCTACCTTGCAACGAAATACAGAGAGAAAAATGCCCTTCAGTTTCTCAGTATGAAGCCTTTATTTGTGAAGTAACAAGACACCTAGCAACTAGAGAACCATTTTTTTAAAAATCTTTTAAGACTTTAAACAGTCCTTCGTGAATAGAGCAGGCAAGAAATACAAACCTTCATTCCTTCCTTGAATCAAGGAGCACTACTGGATTCAACTGCCAAAAGTATTAGAAGGTTTTAGGACTTAACTATACATTGTATTGTTAAGCTCTGCTGAATAAAGGACATTCTCTCAGTAAAGACCACAAGTGTTTTAAAGTTAAGTGTTACAAGAAGTACTCCAAAAACAATCTACTTCCTTCATCATTTGTTTATTAATTTATCCATGTTTGCTTAATGCTCCTGCTACGTATTAGCCAAAAGCTACTCGTTTATATTTAGTTGTATAAATCTAAATTAAATCTGTAGTATTTTGTGGAATGTATTATATATCAAGATACAGAGAAAATTGTTTTAGCATGTCAGAGCCTTTTTGGTTAGCAGACTGCATGTGTTGGTACTTTTTTTAAAGCAATTATTTCAATGCCCTGCAACAGAAATTCTGTTATAAGATACATCTGAAAAATCCATAATGAGATATACGAGTTATACAAAATTTAGTTACATGAATCTCCATATTCCTCACTAAGGTACACTAAGCATTCATACATGGGTCCAAGATAAAAGTTTTTCTGAAACGATTTTTAGTAAGATGGTTTTTCAACAACTAGCATTCCCAAGATAAAGTTGTTGTGCTTTAACTCATTTCCCTTCTTTGCTATTGGATTATGTATGTTTGTTTCTTTTAACTTAAGAGCTGTCTGTTTCTTAAGAAGTTTTCTTATGGCAGAAAAATAATGTAAATAATGTACGATGATCTACATTTTGCCAGGAACTCATTTATTAAGATTATCGTTTATTAATAAGAATTTTTCTGGTTTTTGTCCTTTATAATATTACATTAAAGTTGGTAACTATTATTGGTACTTTTGAAATATTTGTATGCATTTGTTACCTTAAACATTTGGAAGAAGCACAAAAACGTAGATTTTAGTTAACCCAGAGAAACATCAATTTTTTATTAATTCCAATTTTATATCACAGTTTTATTTTCTTATGAAATCCAAAAAAGGCAGTGATACTTGTGCAAATTCATTATTTAACATAAATATCAAAAATAATCTGAAGTGAGAAGTTATTGACTTTTTATTTTAACAGTATACTTCTTAGGCTGTCATTACCAGCTCTAAAGAACTTTTGGGAATTATTCCATATTCCATAATGTATGGTTTATGAATTCTGTGTATCATCACTAACACAGTAGCCATGGAAAAAAGCCCTCCTCACCCCTCATCTCTGTCTGTCTCTCTCTTTGGTAAGCCAGTAGTAGTGTTGTATGTATAGTTATCTTTGGAATGACCATCAATAAAAAAGAAAGACAGCATGTTTAATAGACCAGAAATTGAAATGGAAGTTAGAGAACTTGGATTTATTAAGTCAGTTTCACCATTAATGTAAGTTTTACCACCAAGTAATACTATAAATGATTTTTAAATTCTTGGATGAAAGGTGCTATGTAAATATAAATACAAAGGAATCTTACTGAAATACACATATTGCACAACAAAAATATTAAAAAATCTATTCTCTAGACTTTTAAAACTCTATCATGACTCCCTGGAGCATCAAATTAATAAATGGGTATCATGGCAGGCTAGAGACATGTGATGTAAAAAATGTAAATTTATTTTTGGTTGGATAAGTTGAAAATAAAAGTAGAAATTGTTTTAGCTAAATATAGTAAGTGGATAACTTAGATTTATATTAACTAGCATCTAATTTGCACAACTAGGACACATTCCAGGACAGTGACTGAAAGCTAAAACCTGGTGAGTACAGGGTGGCCCAATCAGTGTATATCAGTTTGACCTCTCCAAGATACTAAATCCTAAAATAGAGAACCCATTGAGTTAACCAGCACATTAATGCTTCAACAGAAAGTGCTGAATGACAGCCTGTGAAGTACTAAATCTGAGTAGAATAATCTTAATAAAGGACAACTAAAGAAACAGGATTGGACCAGGGATTTAGCTTAGTGGCACTGTGCCTGTCTGTCAAGTGCAAGCTCCTGAGTTCAATCCTGGGTACCAGTGGGAAAAAAAGAAAGAAAGAAACAACCAAGAGAATAACAAAAATTCAAATATTCTTAATTATACTCCTCACATTTTTCATGCCATTTCAAGGAAGGACTAGAAAATAACTACATGAATATTTTACTTTCTCCAAAAGCAACCCACAGAAGCAAACTTCATAGGAAGCCTTTCTTACATAAACTTCTGCCAAACAAAATAGTAAAGCCAGTTGGAACTAAGCAGTACTATTTTCCTAACAAGGGCCTACATGGTTTTAAGTGTCTGGCTCTATTATGAAGTAACACCTAAAGAAAACCCCAAGGAAACTGAAAAATTCACTATACAGGGTAATAGCTTTGGCCCAGAGCTCTAATATTGTGCTTCAGATCTAGCTATGTGGAAATGTGTTGGCCCAAACGTTTTGGTTATCAAAACGTTTATAAGACAGGTTCATACATCATAGCACCTTGCATTCAAGGCATGGTAAAAGTCTAACTTAAAAATAATCACTGTGCACATTACAGAACTGCACCTACTTCATAGAAGTACTATAGCCTGTACTGTCTTATCAGTTTATGTCAGGAAGTGAGAATAATACTGTACCAAATCTGGAATTACAATGAGGAGTAATAATGTATGCTAAATTGCTTTTGTGTTTAAAAGTTATTTTTTATGAGAAAAGTGGTGAATTTGTTTTTCTTTCTTTTCAGCTACTCTTAATCCTGAATTTTTTTTTTTAAGCCTCAAATGAATAGTACAAAAGGAGCCCATTTTATAATAAACCTTAATGCACATGTTGAGATATCTGGACAATGAAAATGCCTTAAAAAAGAATGCTTAATGAATAATGTTGCACTTCCAACACCCTTTAACAAAACTTAATTTTAAATTGTCTTTTTCTTTTCTACTAAGGGTTCTGTTTCAGTGTTTGCCATTGTACTTACAACTGTTATTAAATACCAAATCAAATAATATAAAAGCTGTAACATTTCCTTTAAAATTAAATGAGGGATTTCGAATTGGGTGGCAAAACGTTTATTACTTGACAATAAACATTAGCCACAAGAATCCAACTCATGAGACACCACTGTTTGGTTGATTTGTCTTTTTAAAACATTTATTCTCATCTTAAACTGTTTATCCTTAAAAATTTAAGTTGGATTAACATTCACTTTTCAAACTGATACAAAAATAAAACAGGTGATTTTTCTATAACAAGTGGTTATTAATCATTTTAAAATCATGTGATTTTAGCCAACTATTACTGTTTGCCCTGGAGAATTACTTTCAGATACAACCCATAATACGATTTAGATTATTTCATCCTAATCATTTGAAAATAAGAGGTTTGGGAGGAAAAGAAGACAGTTTCTCAATACTCATTCCCAGCAGAGGTTAACTATAATCTGTAGTTGTCCCCTTTATCAGAGGGGACTATGTTCCAAGACATTTATGGATGCCTAAAACTATAAATAATATCAAAGCCTATATATACTATTTTCCTGTACATACCTATGGTAAAGTTTAGTTTGTAAGTTAGGCACAGTAATAACAAAATGAAACAATTACAGTATACTGTAATAAAGTTATGGTCTTAAAATCTTACTGTACTAATGATGATGTGATATGATAAAATCCTTATATGAGAAGAGATGAAGTGAAGTGGGTAATTGGAAAAATTGTGACATTAGGCTACTGCTGATCCAGTAACCGAGAAAGCTCCAAAGTAACTAATGGTGAGGTAGTATATACAGCATGGATATGCTAGACAAATTAATGATTCATTCATATTCTAGGCAGGATGGAATGGGATGGCATGAAATTTCATCCAACTATTCAGAACACCATACAGTTTAAAACTTAGGAACTCTCTTTCTGAAACTTGCCGTTTAATATTTTTCGGCTGCAGCTGACCACAAGTAACTGAAAACTTGGTAAGCAAAATTGCAGAGAAGGGGGAACTAGTCAGGCTGCACAAATTAATCTTTCATTTTCACCTAGACACGAAAGCAATTGGCTTTATGTCCTTAAGAGTCAGTCTTTCTAGGCCTGTGTTCACCATTAGACCAGATATCCAAGGTCCTCAAATTCTATGACTCCACTCCTTTACGTGAAAGCAGCCTGAAATAAAGTTTATTTGTAGGTAAAAACGTGGAACCTTAGAATAAGGTAATCACTTTATTTTGCCTTTCAGCAGTACAACATAGTGCAAATTAAGTACAGTACCTACTAGATATAAATTATTTTCTAGGGCTGGGAATTTAGCTCAGTGGTTCTGCCACCTGCGTCGCAAATGCAAGGTCCTGAGTTTGATCCCTGGTACCAAAATATAAAAAAATAAAAAACCAAAACTCTACAAATTATTTTCTGAAGAATCCATCAGGAAAATGTGGTTAAGAATATACCATTCAGGGGCTGGGGATTTAGCTCAGTGGTTCGGTGGCCTGCCATGCAAGCGCAAAGACCCGAGTTAGAGCCCTGGTACCAAAAAAAAAAAAAAAAGACATTTGTGAAGAATATACCATTCAGGGGCGGGGAATTTAGCTGAGTGGAGCCACTGCCTGCCTCACAAGTGCAGGATGACAAGTTTGATCACCAGCACCCCCCTCCGCCGCCCCACAGAATATACCATTCAGTAGCTAGGTATGGTGGCACTCACATGTAATTACAGAACTCTGGAAGTCTGTGGCAGGAGAATCACAAATTCAAGCCTAGCCTTGGCAACTTAACTGACCTAGCTGAGTTTCCCAAAATAAAAAACTTTAGAAGGCTAGGGATGAAGATCAGTACAAAGGCCCTGGGTTCAATCCCCAGTACTACGAAAAAAATTTTTTTCTAAGTTTTTTTCATTGTACTAAGGAAAATTTAAGAATTTTCATGACCACAAGAAGAGAAATTTTTATGGTCTAGTCTTTATCAGCTCCATTAATGAAAAACTTGTGTTTGAATATAAGTAAGGTGAAAAATGTCATTCTCTCACTTCTCATTTAAGTAGCTTCTATGACAAATGACTGTATTTTCCTAGTTCAGAGGTCCCAATTAAAAGGATAAGTAAAAATATCATTGAAATAGGATAGTAAAATAGGCTAAAGGACAGAAGAAACTTGTACAGTATGTTCACACTGCTAACCCCTGAAGACTAAATATGAACATACTTTTTAATGGCTTAATGTATATTATGCTATTGAGTATTAAAGTGTGATTTTAATAGTGTGATGATTATAATAATTTTTCATTTATAGTTTGTTTTCTAGATTAAAATTACAATATTTTAAAAATAAGCCAGGCATGGTGGCACATGCCTGTAATCCCAGTATTCCAGAGGCTGAGGCAGGAGGAGCAAGTTCAAGGCCAGCCTAGATGACCTACAGTGAGTTTAAGGATAGTCTGAACTATATTGCAAGACTCTGTCAAAAAAATTTTACTGGAAAAAAATATAACTGGTTTATAAAGAAATATCCAACAATGTAAAGTTTTTATTGCCCCAAGCTGGTTTTCATGGTCTTGCTGGAGAATCCATATTCTTTAATCCTAATTTTCTACAAGTACCTACATCAACAACCTAATATATTCCTATGCCCTTTTTTATTGTTTCTCTGTATTATGTATGCTATCCTACATAAAGTTTTTATACATAATGTACTGTAATTTTTTCTACTACAAAGAACACTACAGGTAGAAACTTTTTTTTTTTTTTTTTTTTTTAGGTAGGATCTTGCTGTGTATCCCAGGCTGGCCTTAAACTCACTATGTAGGCCAGTCTAGCCTCAAACTCATGGCAGTCCTCCTCCTTCAGCATCCTAAGTGATGAGGTTACAAGTGTGCATCACCATGCCTGGCACAGGAAAGTTCATCTTTAACATGATTTTCTTAAAAAAACATATAAGGTAGTATAAAAAGTTTGCTAAGACAAAGACATTTTGTCTCTTACCTCCAACGACACCCATTCATTACAGGTCTGCCCTTCAACAATTAGAAATGCTTTTTAAAATGTAATAGTTTCAGCTGGATGTGGTAGTGCACAGCTAAGATGCCAGCACTCAGGACACTGAGGCAGGAAGATGGCTGTGAGTTTCAGGCCAGCTTGAACTAGGTAGTTTTCCTTTTTTTTGTACTGAGACTTAAACTCAGGACCTTGTGCCTGCCAGGCAAACATGGTGCCACTGAGCTACATCCCGTTCCCAGCTTGAATTACATAGTGAGACTCAAAACAAAAAAGATTAACTTTCCTCCTAAAATGGTAGTCACTTTAAATTTTTTTTAATTATAAGAATTAAATTTGTTCTGCTCTTTCTCTCTGTTCTGCTCTCCCTGCTCCCCTGAATAAAATCTCCAGTGCGGCAGGAGGAGAGACTTAAATTTACCTGCCGCGCGTGGTGACACACACCTGTAATCCCGGCACTCGGGAGGCTGAGAGAGGAGGATCACCAGGAGTTCTCGAGACCAGCTCGGGCTGCATAGTGAGTTCCAGGTTGGTCTCAACTACCTAGTGAGACCCTGTCTCAAAAAATCAAAAAAAAAAAAAAAAAAAGGGGGAAAAAAAATTAAATTTACCCTCAACATTAGCCCAGTTAGGTTTTTTTCCTTTTGTTGTGGTGCTGAGGATCACCCAGGGTCTTGCTAGGCAAACACTGCCACTGAGTATACCTACCCCACCCCACCAGCCCAATCAGTTTTTATCAAAATTTAGTATTACAGGATCATGTCCTGTTGTCTTCACAAATTTGAGAAAGTCTTCAGGACTCAATCCCATGGTGGCAGCATTGGTCATTGGATGAAAATAAACCTTCTCATGTCCACCTTCCAGAAAAGCAGAATCCAAAACAAATTTCACATCTGCATCAACACAGAAGAGTGCCAGGGGTGTAGCACAACCTTGGCCAACTTTTAGTTTTTCTAACATGGCTGTTTCATCAGCAAAGCGAAGATTTCCACTCCCAACACCTAAGTGTTTAGCAAGATCATTTAAGTTAACTTGTCTATCATGAAGAACTGTCACCAGCCAGTAGCTTTTTTTCTTTTTGTCTTTAAGAAACAAATTCTTACTATGTGCTCCTTTCAGATGTTGGATATGAGGCATCATTTCTTCAACCGTAAACACCTATAAAATATCACAGTGAGAAGTTTAGAAATAAAATAACGTGTATATATATACACACACACACACACACACACACACACACACACATGCACACATCTACTGGGTAAAAACTGCAATGTTAGGGAGTACTCATTGCTCTAACTGTAACTGGTACAGACTGTCTCAGGGTCTCAGGTAGTTTCTATTCCAGGTCCTGAATATGAATAATTATGCCCTTGCATTCCAAAAAACTTTAAACTTTTAGTACTGAAGTTGTACAGATCCCTCGACTACTTACTATTGCTTAGCGTTCTTTTACATCTAGACCATGTAACAACCTCCACTCTACAAATAAACTGTGAAGGAAAGGATAGTGAATTAAGCCCTAGATTAATACATTTTAAAAAATCAAAATATCTGATTTAAAAAATCAAAACACAAAGGGGTGTGACTATGAGGTGAGAAAATATAGATGTGACGATAAATGTAAAGGTAAATACTTTTAATGTTTTTCCTTTAAAGATCACCATTTTAGCCATTATCAGTCGTGTCGCTCAAACTCTAGGTAAAATTTATGTCCCTGCACCACTCAAGTTACACTCCAATTCCATGAAATATCTGCAAATCTTCAAAGTAGTACAGTTAGCCATGTTAAAACTGATTAAGATGGGAATAAGCCAAACGTGGTGGGGCTACTTAGGAGGCCAAGGCAGAAGGAGGATGGAAAGTGTAAGGGAAAGGGATGGGGATGTAACTCTTTGGTAGAGTGCCCCCGGGTTTGATCCCCTGAACTGGGACACATTCAGGTGTGTGTGGAGATACTTGTAAAGCTAGGCATGGCGGTGCCCTCGGGAAGCTCGCTTATACCTTCGGGGTGGGGCATACTGTAAAAGCATAAAGAACAAACAACTGATGGAGGTAACAAAACAACAAACCCTCAACTCGAGTATCCCGAAATACACATTGTCTGCACGGTAGCCACTGAATGGCCTATTTACTGCTCAGTAACTTATCTACACACAAAGCGGATAAAAGACATCCCGGACCACGGTAAGATGCGCAAGATATCTATCTGCTATGCTTCACTGTCGATATGTAAAAACTCCAAGTAGAAAACCTAAGTTTCCTCACCATAACCTCACAGTCCCAAGTCAGAAGCCCCTGCCCGTCGGTCACCTTGGCACTCTGGGACCCGGAAAAGCTCTCCTAGCGACGCCGGCTCCGTCCCTCATCCCGCACTCCTGATCTTAGCGAGCACTCCCGCAGTGACACAGCGGACGGCCCCCCGGGCCCATTAAATCCCCAGCCCCTCATCAGACATTTTTCAAAAATTACTTTTAAAACTGATGCAAAGTTTAAACTAATATCAACACTGTTCTATAATTTCAAGAAATCTGAATGTATATTAC